AAATGTAAGAAAGATCCAGCATCTGAACCACGTCTTGTAGAGTGTGTTCCTAGATGCATCATCAGTGCAAGTTTGGTCACGATAGGGCTTATAGTTATACATAAAAATGAGACCCGCTTCAAAATCTTTAACCTGCTCATTCATTAAGGAAATGTAGGTCAGATCCAGCATCTGAAGCAAGTCTGGTAGTGTGCATCCGTAGATGCATCATGAAGTAAGTCTGGTCAACAAGTGCTTACAGCTGCTCTGCTCCCAAAAACTTAATCTGCTTTTAAAACATTTACCTGGACATTCTGTGGCTAAAAATGCAGCATCTGGAACCTGACTGGTGACAAGGAAACACGCTAGATTATGTGACTCTGATTAATGTAGGGCATAAATATACCTGAAAAAAAAAATCTGCTTCAAAAACGTTTATCTGTAACACCGATGCCGACGGTATTACAAAAGCTCCCCCAACTTCGTAGAGGTTAGCAATAGAAATGTGACCGTCGTTAACGTTATACGTTGGCGACAAAAAAGTATCGAAAAGAAGAAAGGATACGATAATGTTTTCTACTGTTAATATAATTGAGAATCATCTTTGATTTAAATGGGACACCTAACGGAACTTCTCCTACATACTTATTTACCCAAATTAGGAGGATTTGAAATAACCCCACCTTTCAGTAAGTTAAATTGTAATTCTAATAATTTTTTTAAATCATTTTAATGAGAAATACAAAACTGATTATTTTTTTTCTTATATAATTCTTTTTGCAAAAGCTTAATATTATAGGCAGGGGTTTACTAATATAAAGTGTATATAAAAACAAAAATGACATAAAATATGTCTTAGTATTTTTTTTTAATTTTCAGCAAAAAATAAGCGTAAAAAATTGGAAAAACTTTATTTCTTGAAAACAGACGGATAACATTTCATGAAAGTCTACATCAGAATGTATCTTAATATGTTAGCGCACTTTTAATGACCTTGACCTTATTGTTCCAGGTTCAGGATCTATGTATTAAAATGATTATACTTGTGCAGTTCTTTTTTTTTTTTTTTTTTGGTAGATACAGTTTTTTTTTATCTGCTGTTAATGTATTTCTTTATAAAATGTATTCTTAATGCATAAAAAAAAATGCATTCTTAATGTAAGAAAGGTTTCGTAAATTATTAATGCACAATATGTTATAAATTGTTCCCCTTATTTTTTCCTTCTAACTGTCTTAATCATGCTGTCCTTACATGTAGCAGTATATGTATCAATGTACATAATTTTTTCCAACAATGGGCCGAGTATCTGTCAACAGGCCTTTTATTTTAGCCTTGCGACTTGTACCATTCTTTTTTGTTTGTTGTTTTCTTTTTACTCAAACTTTCTCTCGATGTTTTTTTCGTTTTTACCTATAATCAAAGGTCAAACAAAAAATTGTGCATGTTTATTTATCATATGTCTCCTTGCGGCTGATTCAAACAACGCTCAACACTTCTCTTTATCTCTTGACAATGGGTAATACAATTGAACAATATCGAGCCGCAATTGGATTTTTCTATTGTAAATGTAGATGTACATCAAAATCACTACTATTTTCTGTACTACAATTTAATAATTTTTTGATTGAGTGTCTGAAGTACATTTTAAAAACTACCAAATGCTTACTGTCAAAAGGCGCAATGGAAGTTATTTATTTTTGAATTATATGTTACAAATTATGTACTTACTTATATTGTTGTCAGGTGACATAGAGACAAATCCGGGGCCATCTCAAATTACCCAATCAACACTGGACATTTTTCATTTAAATGTAAGGAGTATAAGAACCATGTTTGATAAGTTTCTGAGCATTGTATCAGATTTTGGTATTTTATGTTTCACTGAAACCCATCTCGATGTTAACATTTTAAACGAAGACATTTCTATTGACATTTCTATTGACGGATTCAACTAAATTTTTCGGAAAGATAGAAACTCACATGGGGCGGTGTAATTATATATGCATCTGACTCGCTACGCGTTAATAGACGCCCCGATCTTGAACCTATGAACCTTGAATGTATATGGGTAGAAATCAGCGATCCTACCTGCAATATTCTCCTCGTCCTCCTAACTCCGATAATTCATTTTAGGTGACTTAAATGTAAACTTTCTAGATCTCCAAATCATACATGTAGTCAATGAAATTCTCTTAAAATACTCCATTCAAAACACAGTATGCGACGCAACTAGAGTCACAAAAAACACGAAATCTCTCATAGACCCAATTCTTGTTAACGAAAATCTACAAGTAGATGTATTGGACACTGGGACAATAGACGTGGAACACTCTCTCAGCGACCACAAAGGCACATACATCTATCTTATATCACATACAATACAAAAACAATCATATGAAAGGAAAATATGGTTATACAAAAATGCAGATTTTGAAACACTAAATACACTTATAAGCAACACAGATAGGAATACGCTTATTAATGACGCCAAAGAAATAGACCAGGCGGAGAGTAATTTTTCAACGAGTTTTTTAAACCATGTAAAACAATGCATTCCCGAAAAAACAGTAACTATAAGGCCTAAAGATAAACCCTGGTTTGATTCCGCACTGCGGAAAACAGTTCGTATGCGAAATCGCGCAAGAAATAAAGCCCACAAAACAAAAAAAAGATTCAGATTTGGATAAGTTTAAACAACTACGTAACAAAGTTAACAATATGAAAAAAGTAGCGATGGCAAACTATTAAAAAAATATAGAGACCAATCTTATCGACGCAAGTATCAAAAGTTCAAAATTTTATTACAAACTATTAAAAGATGTTTTCAAAACCAAAGTTAGGTCCGAAATACCATCTCTGCAGGATATTACAGAAAATGGCGATGTGTATATTTCATATAGCGATATTGACAAAATTGAGGCGTTAAACAACTTTTTTGTTTCGATTTCGGCATCGCATCATGTCGAACCTGCATTACCAGTTTTTTCTTAATTGTGTAATAGTGTTCTTAATAGCATTGAAATAGTTGAGCAAGACATTATTAGTCCCCTACCGGTGAAACCGGAGGGGACTATAGGTTTCCTCTGAGTCTGTTCGTCCGTCTGTCTGTCCGTCCCTCTGTCTGTCTGTCCCACTTGGTTTTTCCGCACTTTTTTGCTAAACGCTTGCAGATATTGAGCTGATTTTTGGTGTGCGAGTGTATCTTGATGAATTACCGATCAAGTTTGCATTTCGTTCCGCTTCATTGATTTTTGAAGGAATTACAGCCTTTTCAATTTTTAAGGGTTTTCCGCAATTTTCTTCTAAACGCTTTCAGATATTGTGCTGATTTTTGGTATATGACTTTACCTTGATTAGTTACAGATCAAGTTTGCATTTCGTTCCGCTTCATTGATTTTTGACGGAATCATGGCATTTTCAATTCTTAACGGGAACCAGATTACACTTGCCGGTAGGGGACTAGTATTGCTAATGCAATACTCTCAGAATGCTTGTTGATATAATTTCTTTTCTCCCTGTGAACAAGGCCATAGGACCTGACAATATTAGTCATAAATGTTAAAAGCTACTATTTTTAGCGTCTCATTTCCCTTGTGTATTCTGTTTAATAGATCTTAAAGAGAATGTGTATTTCCTAAACAGTGGAAAGTAGCTAACGTACTTCCTTTATTTAGAAAAGGTGACCCATCATTATTTATAGAGCGAGTCTAACTTTGTAATTATTTTCATTTAAACAATCTTTTTTATAAATATCAGGCTTTTTTTTTACCAGGTCATTCAACTGTTTATCAGCTTACTGAGACATACGATTACATAGCTAAAGCTATAGATGAAGGAAAACACTGTTGTATGGTTTTCTGTGATTTGTCTAAGGCATTTGATCGGGTATGGCATAAAGGTCTTCTATTTAAGTTACAAACATATGGTGTTAGTGATAAATTATTGCTATGGTTTCAAAGTTATTTAGATTTAAGGACACAAAGGGTATTGCATAGGAATACTATGTCTAATTTTAAACCTTTACATGCTGGAGTCCATCAGGGGTCTGTATTGGGGCCATTTTTGTTTTTGATATATGTCAATGATGTTGCTGAAAATATGTCGAGTTTAAGCAGGTTGTATGCTGATGATAATTCTTTACAGAACTGTTCTGAAAATATACATGATATTCAAGGAGGATTGAATAATGATTTAAATCAACTTGAACAGTGGTCTAAACAGTGGCTATTGAAATTTAATCCTTCGAAAACCAAAGCTATCTTTTTTAGTACTAAGAAAAATGTCGATCTACCATGGCTTAAATTTCAAGACTGTTATTTAGATTTTGTATCATCACACAACCACTTAGGTATTCTCTTTTCACACGACCTTACATGGTCAGCGTAGATTGATTCTATCGTGGCCAATGCATATGAAAAAATAGGTCTACTTAAAAAATTGCAGTTCAGGGTCAGTGCTAAAACTTTATCTCTTTTATATACTACTTTTATAAGACCTCAGTTAGAATACGCAACTGAAGTTTGGTGTGGGTGTTCTAGTCAAGATTCCGAAAAACTAGAAATATTACAGTTAGCAGCAGGAAGAATAGTCACTGGATTAACTTCTCTGGCATCGCGAGATTCTCTCTATTTTGAAACTGGATGGGAACCACTTGCTATTAGAAGAATGTCCAAAGTACGAGGGCCATTCAAAAAGTTTTGTCCTACCCAGTCCTCCATAAAGAAATGAATGTAGATCACTTCAAACACGCTTGTTATGGTTCATTGAATTCTTTATCAACCACACTGTCCTTGCCGAAAAAGAATTGCTTGGGGTTTTGAAGATTTATCAAGTTTTGAAAATACACTACACGTGATACTCTATTGTTTTATCATGGAAAAGAAAGTAAGTACAACAGGAGAAATAAGAAGCCACATAAAAGCCTGTGCTAAACTTAAAAAATCAGTAATTGAAACATTCGAAGAAGTTCATAATATTTATGGAGACCGAAAACCGTCATATAGAACCGTTTCCAGGTGGTTGAAGAAATTTAAAGATGGAAGAGAAAGTGTTAAAGATGATGTACGATCTGGAAGACCAAAAACGGTTAGTAATACAAAAAATTTGTTGAAAATCAAAGATTTAGTAGAGAGAGATGGGAGATACACTGTTAAGGACTTATCTCGAATAGTACGGATATCAATGGGAGCAGTTCATAAAATTCTTACAAAAGACCTTGGTTACAGGAAGATCTCTGCAAGATGGATACCCCATTTACTGAATGAGGAACAAAAAGCTAACCGTGTGTCATGTGCGAAAAAAATCATTAAACTATTCAAAAAGAGGAAAAATCGACTATTTTCAGATATGGTAACAGGAGATGAAACTTGGGTGCATTATTTTCAGCCTCAAAGAAAGTTTAATAATAAAGTATGGATGACGAAACATGGAAAGCGTCCAGTTATTGCTAAACGCTGTCAGAGCACCGAAAAGATTCTCTATACTATATTCTTTGATAGGGAGGGTGTTGTGTTGCAATCTCCGATTCCCGAGAAGAAGAGTGTTACTGGAAAGATGTATAAATGTAAAATTTTGCATAAACTTAAACAGCAATACAGAAAGAAACGTCCAAAAACTGGTATCAAGGGTATCTTCTTGTTGCACGACAATGCTCCAGCCCACAAGTCAAAATTAGTGACAGATTTTCTCAGTAAAGAGGGGGTTATTGTCATCCCTCACCCTGCCTACTCTCCAGATCTTTCCCCCTGTGACTTTTTTCTATTCACAAAACTTAAAAGACATTTATCTGGAAGACGCTATAACTCTAGGGCATCACTTGGCTCTGCAATACATCAGTTTGTGAAGGGTCTTCATAAAGAGGAATATAGAAAAGCATTTCAGGAGTGGATTTCTCGTTTGAAAAAGTGTATACGTGTTAAAGGGGAGTACTTTGAAGGAATGAAATAAAGAAATCCTAATGAGTTTATGTCTTTATTTTTTTATTGCACTAAGGACAAAACTGTTTGAATGGCCCTCGTAAGAACAACTATGTATAAAATTTTTCATAATATGGTACTCGAGTATCTGAAAGAAATATTTCCAAACATTCGATCACACGAATCAAATAACGTAACAAGACAATCACAAAATTATTGCATCCCTAAGTGTAGATTAAATATTTATAAATCATCTTTTGTCCCAATTGCAATAAGGGAATGGAACTCTTTACCTCTTGAAAAAGACAATCCACAACTATAGGTTCCTTGAAAAATTGTATAAACTCTCAAAAAAACACATAATCCTGCCTTTTTTTCTTTTGGTGTTCGTTACTGGAATGTAATTCATACTAGATTAAGACACAATTGCGTTCTGAATAAAGATTTATTTAGGTGTAACATCATTGACAGTCCATTATGCACTTGTGGAAAAATAGAAGACGCATATCATTACTTTTTTCTTGTGCGAAATACACTGTGCCAAGAAACGATCTGTTTAATGCTATTTTTAGAATGATTAATTTACGTATTGTAGACACTCACGTTCTGTTATGGGGAGATGATTCGATTAGCATTTCTGAAAATGAAAGTTTAGTTTTAAATGTGCAATTGTTTATTAAGAGATCTGGTCGTTTTTGAATTTGTATATTTAGATTCATTTGTACATACTGCATCAAATCAATTTTGAACATGCATAACCCATGTAAGCTGATAATCATATTGACCTTTGGTTCCAATGTAGTTTAATTTTTGAACATTATTTTGTATAATTAATATGGCAAGCCCTTTTACTATTTATTCGTAAAATATTTTTTTTCTTTCAATAAGAGAGATATCTCCTTAGTTTAGAGAGATATCTCTTTAGCTTATAGAGATATCTCTTTAACTAAAAGAGATATCTCTTTTACCAAGAGAGATATCTCTTTGACTAAGAGAGATATCATTATAACCTAGAGAGATATCTCTATAAACAAAAGAGATATCTCTTTTTGCAAGAGAGATATCTCTTTTACTTAGAGAGATATCTTATTAAGCTAGAGAGATATCTCTTAAAGCGAGAGAGATATCTCTTAAAGTTAGAGAGATATCTCTTTAACAACGTTAAAAGAGATATCTTTCTAAGTTAGAGAGATATCTCTTTAGATTTTCAAAAAGAGATATCTTTCTAAGTTAAAGAGATATCTCTCTTAATGAAAGAGATATCTCTTTTCAAGTTATTCTTAAAATGAAATAATTATTCATCCCTTATAATACGAAAGCGAGGCTAGACACCACTTGGCAGGAAGTGTAATGTTTGATGATCATATATACGGTAGATCTCTGCCTCTGGAATATATTCAGCATGCCCAATCCCAGAACGAAGTATGTAGAAAGAAATGCTTAATCCCTTGTTTGAAACAACAAAAGGATAATGACTACTTTGTTGATAAACATGCTAAAGTGTTTATATTCAGGAAAACGAAAGTAGGCTAGCAATAATCTCAACTGCGATGGACCGAATTTTCTCAGTGTTTGAAATAATCAGCTGTTTCTAATTTTAAATCTAGACAACACTGAATTACTTGTCATATTTATTTAAGTTATATTGTAACTTAAATAAATAGTTGTTAAAATGGGTCAAATTTAAAGACTACTTTAATTAACATCCTCGTCGAAATCAAGTTGGAGAAATCGGGTGGGGTTCTATTCCGTTGAACAGTGAACTTTTGTTGAATATTTTTATTGGGCGTAATTAATGTTGTTTTGTGGAAAAAAAAGTGGGGAGATTTGCTCCCAGCCAACCACCAGCAATTCTACAATTAGCCCCATTAGGTTCTGATACTCATGGTTTAATGCACAGGTGCTTGGGGACAGGAACCCCCCCCCCCCCAAGGCCCGTTGCAACGATTTCAAAAGGCGAAGGGGGGGAGGGTAGCAACTTCTCCAAAAAACATTAATGGCTCTCTGAATTATTTTTCATGATTTTTTAAAGCATTTGTTGATGTATAATGCACTGTAAAAATTTGCAATTGATGCAATAAGCTATACTTGTATAGTTGGGTCTAATTTTAATTTTTTCTGCACTCACTAAAGGAAAGGGATCAAGACATTCTTTGATTTTGATGCAAATTCTATTGTGTGAAATGGAAATAATATTATAATAATGGATTGCCAAGTCATAATTGCAACACTTCTTTTATGGAAATCTATAGCTTGAACTTGTTTTTTTTTAGAAGTTTGAAAATTTGCCTTAGCAGAATAGAAATACTTTCCTTGTCATCTGAAATGTAGGAGAATATAGGTAGCCCTTAATCTTCAGAATTTTTATGCCCCCGCCATAAAATGGTCGGGGGGGGGGGGGGGCATATAGTGTTACCCTGTTCCGTCATTCTGTCATTCCGTCATCATTGAATTTCCGTTCATTATCTCGGCAACAGTTGTACACATTCAACTCAAATTTGATATATGGATACGTCATAGGGATATGCAGGTCAAGTTTGAATTTGGTCATGGTATTGACAGTTATCCCCCTTGAACTTGGAAAAGATTTAAAAATTCTCAATTTCTAATCATTATCTTGGCTACAAATGTGCAATTTACAATTTGCAATTTGAAATTTTGGCTGTCTGCGAGGGCATTTGTGGTGTTACCACACACATCTAGTTTGTAAAATAAAATCCTTGCCCTTTGGTCTTTGTTTTCATTTCCCAGCAAAATTAATCTATCTTGGTACATTTACATTCTCTGACAATTCCTCAGAATTTTTTTTTTTATATTTTTCAAATCAAACATTTCTTAAATTAAACAAAGTTTACGGTTCAGCGCAGTCATTTAGGGTACATACCGGTAATATTCCAAATCACTTTTCATTTAATTTTATTTAAATGCAAAAGGTGTAAATAATTTTATGCCAGAAATTGGCTGTTTGATATTGACAGAAAGCAGTTTCAGTGACTATGGCACAATTCATTGAGTATACCTTCCATAAAGTAACCATGACTGGGAGATTTTTTTTTAATCTCTGATATAGTGTAAAACAGGTCACTTCAAATAATTTGTGTGTTGCAGGTTGAGACATCTGAGTTGTGTCCCCTCCTTTGTCATAATGCCAGCTAGTGTAAAAGCTGAGATTGATCAATGTACTCTAAGCGAACTTAGGACTGTGCTCTAGACCTGGTGTATTCCTAAGGGAATAGAGAGCCAACAGGTATTTATTCTTACTGATTGCATGACTAAATATTAATAAAATATATTAATCATATCTTAATGAATTCCATAAGTTCAACAATCTTTGATTTACCTCATTACTTAAAAAAAAATGTTACACAGAGGAATTGTCCATTACAGAAAGACAACTATAGTTGTAAGGGTCCAATCACTATGAATCGATTTCATTGAACATTTATATGGGAATGGGATATAACTCAGTCAACAATATTAGTTTTCTTTATAATATCCTTAGCTTTCAAATTTTATACATGTTTGGCCACAGAAGGAAGACACATGTATTTTATGAGATCACACAAAATAAGTTTGTTTGTTTGTAGACCATTCTGCATCATCACATTTATGGTGATGTGTTAAATACACATAGATAAATACATGTATAACTTTAATTCACTCTGTCTTACAAATTAAAACCCTTCAATATTATATACAGAAGTAGTTGATGAAAGGTTGACAGACCTACATACACTGTAAATGAACTTAAAATTTAAGAAATACCAGGTACATGTTCTAAGATTGAATTGTGTGTCTTTCAAGCTTGTTTACTTCCATTATGAATTAATAATTAAACCCTTAGTTTGGCCCACTCTCACTTTCATATTTTTAGCTCACCTGAGCTGAAGGCTCAAGTGAGCTTTTCTGATCACATTTTGTCTGTAGTCCGTCTGTCTGCCCGTCTGTAAACTTTTCACATTTTCGACTTCTTCTCCAGAACCACTGGGCCAATTTCAACCAAACTTGCCACAAAGTATCCTTGGGTAAAGGGGATTCAAATTTATTCAAATGAAGGGCCACGCCTTCTTCCAAGGGGAGATAATTATGAATTCGTGAAAAATTAATGGCATCACTAAAAAATCTTCTTCTCAAGAACCACTGTGCTTGAAAATATGAAACTTATGTGGAAGCATCCTCAGATAGTGTACATTCAAGTTTGTTCAAATCATGACCCCCGGGGGTTGGGTGGGGCCGCAATGGTCGATCAAAGTTTTACATAGGAATATATAAGAAAAATCTTTAAAAATCTTCTTTTCAAGAACAGCAAAGCCATGATTGGTCATATTTACATTGAAGCATCCTCAGATAGCGTACATTCAAGTTTGTTCAAATCATGACCCTTGGCAGTCGGGTGGGGCCACAATGGGCGATCAAAGTTTTACATAGGAATACATAGTAAAAATCTTTTAAAAAAAAAAAAAAACTATTTCTTAAGAACAGCAAAGCCATGATTGGTCATATTTATATGGAAGCATTCTTAGATTAGTGTAGAAT